TTAAAAAAAAGTAAAATGCATATCTGAGTGTTCAGAAGCAATGAGGCAGGAACCTGAGAAATTTTGAGGGTTCCCAGGATCCTACTGAGGAAGCAGGAGCAAGCCCAATAGAATAAAGATATTTAGAAATCTCCACTTGCCAGCCTACAGAGTTGAGAAGTCCCCTAGCTACATATATTGGCATCTTCATCAGGCTTTGGGTCTGCTGGATGGTTGCTGACACACATCTGAGGGCCATGGACACTCACTAAGCAGAACATCAGAAGCCCAGGGGACAGAAGCCCAATATCCCAACCTTCAGGAAGTTCACCTTGTACTTTTTCCCCTAAAACATAGGTTTCAATAAAATGGGTTTTTTCACCAATCCAAGAGCAGTCTGTCTGGTAGAACTATAACAAATTTGATGAGCTTAGGCTAATTACAGATTTCAAAAGAAAATTAGGTGCTAAAGAAGATACACATAATTCCTACCATATCACACAAATTAAATGGAAACCATTACACTAGCTGATTGTAGAGATGCTTTGACACTCAAATAATGAGTGTAGCATATAGTAGCTTATTTAAAATGAAGTCACCCCCTTTTAAGGCATGAAACATTGCCAGCTTCTGTACTAGACCTATAATTCTCAGGAAAAAAAACAAGGAAGCAAACAAACAAAAAAAAAACCAACAAGAACAAAAAAAAACCAAACTCATTAACATATGACATTCATTTAAAATATTGGTAAATATCAAAAAGTAGTCAGGTTTTGGCTGAGGAAAAGTCACCTCCAAAAGTCACCTTCAACTCTGCATTACTATTAGGTGCATATATTCCTACAAGGATTACCCTCATGAAGAACAATCAGAATGGATTTGTACAATGCTTATGAGACTAAAGCTTTGATGAGGGGAGGTCTGCAGGTGCCATCAGGATATAAACAATCTTGAAGATCCCTTCCAACCCAAACCATTCTCTGATATGATTGTATGACAGTATTATCCAATGGGGTATAGCATGAAAGTAAATGTGCATTGGTGTTTTTTATCACTGAGGTCTGATCCCACTGATTAAATTTGTGATTGCAGAGCAAATTTATCATCTAATATAGTACCAAATTTTACCCATGTGCTATCCACCATTAACCAAGGGAAAACTGATCACTCCATCATCATATAAATTGATCTCTGTGACTTGGCAAGGAGTCAGAGCACTGATGATAATGACCCTTTAAGAGTATTAGGTCTAACACCCTGAGGCATTAACCTTTGTTTAACCAAAAGGTAAATCTTTTGATGAAAGACAACATTTTATTACTATCCACCTGCAACAAATAGCTCATTTCTTACTACTATAACTCAACTGCTGGTACTGAAGAGCAAAATCTGCACTTTACTTTCAGAGGCTCTTGAGTAATTCTCATTGAGGTCATGGATCAAAACTGATTATATAGTTGTGATGATCAAGTTCTGCAAGGTGCTATGCCTTGCTCAGAGGGCTAAATGCACCATCTGAAACCTGTAGAGAGCGATGGGGTCTGTGAATAAATTACCCTTAGTAAAGAATACTGACCAAGTTGCAGGAAGATGGTGGCCAAACAAGAAAGATGTTCTTGGCTCTTGGGCAGTACTGATTCTTTCAGTCACCCAACTATTATTTTTTTCAGAGAAAACCTACATAAAACTGAGTAGTTGCTTTTATTTTCTCAGTTCAGAAACAGCTGGAAATCCTAGAGTTGGTATTTTTCCATTGCATTTAAATTAATGTATAGCAAAATTATGTTGCCAAAAGCCCATCAAGTGCAATCTCACCCCAATCAAAAGTGTTTGCTTCATCCTCATAAGTCTCATGTTTTGAGAGCACCTCATCTTTAATCAAACGTGTTAAGTCAGCATTATGTCTTTGCATATTTCTCTGCTCTGTGTGATCAAGTTCTGCCCATAAGTGTGTGTCCCCTCATTGTCTCATAACAGATGGCTTTCTGTGGCACTCTGCATACCCAGGCTTGGTTATACCTGCTCAGTTTCTACCACAACACTGTCCCAAAGTTATGATTTTCCTGCAACAGAGTTTATTTTTCTTTATTGAAAGCAAATGTCATTACTACTTTTGAAATCCTTAGACCTACATGGCAGGCCACAAGAAGCAGCAGTGCTTTCCAAATTTAATACTTCTTAATGTGTTTGTTAACAGAACATGGACATCTGCTTAATGCTTTCTTTACAAGAATCTATCAGGTCTCCCCTTAAGTATTTCTTGCCAACCCCAACTATCAGCTTTTGTATTTACAAAACAGGACGTAAAGTTAGAAACAATACAGCTTGAAGTTCCAGAGCTAAAATCTAGAGTAACCCCCTTTTTCAAAAAAAAATACTATTTTGAAAAATGCATCTGCTCTTTCAAAAACTTTGAATCGTGGTAATCTCATGCACCAAGCTGCTGTTGAAACAAAAGCCACCCCTTTTTTGTAATGCTACAAAATGGAGAAGAAAAACAATGAACTAAGGGATACATAGTTGATGCATAGCTACCCTCTTCATGCCAATGCTGCCAGCAAAGCTCTAGTGTAAATCAGATGCCTCACTGGAGAGAATTTTTGGCAGCCTAAAAATAAACAGCAGCAGTCCAATGTATTTCTAAACCTCACTTATAAAACCAGTCTCACGTACTATAAACTCTCACTTATTATTTTTAACCCTTGGGCTCCCATGTTTTGTTTTCATTTTGTCAAAGCAAAGGAACATGAGAGAGATGTCTATTAGACTCCTCTCAGCCTAAGGGTTAATTACTCAGTTTTGTAGACATTTGAAAATATTATGCTACCTCTAATAGCAAAATTGATAGAAGTTTGTTTCAGGCTCACTTTATGTCATTATGGCAGATTAAATTAACTAATCATAAATTATGCTGGCTAAAGTACATCTGCTACTCACTAAACCTGCAGAGAGAAGAGAAGGGGTTTTTTTCTACTGAATAAGAAGTAAATGCCGCGCAGAAAATTAAAGACTTTTACAAACCAATAAACATATGTTCAAGCAACAAAAGCTGGAAGAGACCCAAAGATGTCAGGAACAGATTCTGAAGACCAATGGCAGCAGCCTAACACTGAACCTGTGGCTGCTGTGGAAAGGCACTGACACTGCAATGCTGCAGGGGTATATCCACAGATCAAAGAGTAAAGATGTACATTAAAGAATAAAGATCAATTAAACAAGAAATAGCATGCTCACATTACTGTTAGATGTCTTTGAATACCAATGACATGATGTGCATGTTTGCAGGCTCTACTTCCCATGTCACCTCTTCCATTTTCTGTTCAGAGAGGCTGAATGCATCATTTCTGTAAGCTTGCAAGGAAAAGATGGATGTAAAGATCACTGATCTAGAAGAGAATACAGATTTTTCAGTGGTCCTCTTCTTTCTCTCTGCATTGCAGGATGCAGATGTGACAACTGATACAATATCAATGTGACTAAATTCCTTAGCAGGGCATGAACAACTGAAGTTAAAGATGTGTCAGAAGCATGGAGAGAAAGAACAGGTATTCAAGACCTCTTCCTTGCAGTATAAAGTGTTGAGTCCCTTTCTGAATGCTCGTGGTAGACCAGCTCAATCACGTTAAATTAGGTTTTTCTTTGTTTTGTAATAATATAAGGAAGAAAAGCTGTATTATATTGTTTTACATGTGAATTCATATATGCAGTTGTCAGTTAAAAAGCAGGATGTTGTTTTGTGATGACCAGATATATTGTTTCTGTCTAGTAAACAAACTTCACTGAACAGCTCCAAAAAGAGTCCAGGTAAGATGATCAGCCTCACAGTGACCATGTCTAGAGGGAGTGTAAACAAAATATTGTGTTTCTTTAGGTGTCACAGAGGCTCATGAAGCTCTGAGGGCATCTGAATAGCCCAAGTATAGTTATAGTGTGAACTCTCAACATATTATAACCTTCTGGAAAGGTGCAGCACTCTCTGTTCCCCTATTCCTGGATTTATACTCCATCAGTCCCTTGAGGCAGATGAGGCTCTTAGTACCATCTGAGTCCTTTTCCCTCATGTTTCCCTCCCATTTCATATTCTCTGAACAATATTACTCATGCCACCTTCCACTCATGATGCATGCAGCTATAAAAAAGTCTGAAGGAATGAAATATAGCTTCAGTATTTAGAGGAAAGTAGTAAGGAAGAGAATTGTCCCTCACCAACGCGCAAAGGAAATTATAAGGTTTAGTCCTGCAGTGAAAAAAAAACCTAAAAAACTTTTCTGAAAATAAAAAAAAGCTTAGATCACCATCAGTCACTGGATAACCTATTTTAAGCACTTCAGAGCCAGCATGCTGTTCTCATGTTGCTAATTAAAAATGATAGATTCATCAATTAATCTCTCTTCCTGTCTTCTAGTCTTAGTATGAGATTTTTCAAAGGGACAAATGGTAGTTAGATGCCCAGAAGTATCATTTCAGCCCTGAAAACTTGTGCCTTTGTCAACATGTTCCCAACCCTGCCTCTTTACACTATGAAATGACAAAAATAAAACCTTAGAAAGCTTTGCCACCCTGAAAAACATTACAAATTCATAATTAGGGAATAGTCTAATCAACTGTACAATGAACATTGCTACATGAATCCTCCATGTGCTCCAGTTTGAACTTGCTCACTGATAGATGAATAACCCTCTGTTAAATTTGTCAGAGAGAGATGTCCTAAGCTTAGTCTCTTGATTGAAACTCAATTGCGATATTACTACAGAGCAGTCAGAGATACTCCACTATTTAGGAAAGAAGCAACTAAGGCAATCTGTTTTAATTCACATGAAAATGGAGACAAAGACAAAGGTCCTCTTGCTAGCTTAGCAAAGTGCCAGTCACATAAAGCATGCCAATGAAAGTGGTTATCTTTTCCTCTTTCAATATATGTATCACCAGGCAGAGAAATAGAATTGGGGTGTACAAGGTTAACAAGCCAGCATCATGTTATGAAGCAAGCGATAAAATTGTCTACAGTTCTTAACTCTGACCTGTTCCAGTGAAAAGCTGCCAAGCAGAATTATGTCATCTTGAACATCTCTCTCAAACTGTTCAATATATGAAGGGATCTCTTCATCTTCAAGCTCCCTGTGAAGGTCACATGCCTTACTGGAGCTGACAGGCATCACGGATTCTGGAAAATCTTCACTGATGACATGGGCTGCTTGAAACAGAAGTGGAGGATTATTTCTCAGCAAATGGGAGTTTATTCACTGGTTAGTACCTTCTCAGTTAATATGTTTGGCCCACCAACATTTTAAGACAACAATTCATGCCATAAAATGAACAGTAATAAATAGCATCAGTAAAACAACTGGTGAGTGCCAAGTGCCAGTACCAGAAAAACTGTGCTCGAGTGCAACATCTGCATTCAGGTACAAATTTAGCATGTGCAACTTGTTCCTTAAACACTTTTTAAAAGGCATGCTCCACATTTCTATGGGCACTTTGCTCCTCTGTAAATCTTAAAGGGACTGGGATCTGGAACAACCTTGGCTTTCAGGAGTAATAACTGCAATTGAGGGTTTTGGGAGTTTTAGGTGAAGCCATATCAAGCATTTCATCATCCTCTTAACTCCCCACAAATGTATGCGCATGCAACTCCTGCCTAATTAATTAGGTTCAGTTCTGCTCTCACCCACATCATTCCCCTGATCTCACTGTGATGACAAATGCAGACCCAAAGGGTACATGCCACACATAAATAAAAATAAAACTCATTCATAAATTCACCCTTAAAGAGAAACTTTGTCCTTTTTTCAGTTTAATTGATCATGCTACATTAAAAAAAAATAGATCTTCTCATTGATATCTGTCACAGTAGTAATACTAGTTTGGGCCATAAATAATAACAACAACTATTTTTGCTCATTTCTCCATGTTAGAATCTCTAAAAAAACGACAGATACCAGATTGTCCATATCTGACTTTCTTGTGTCATAATTCTATGTGTAAGCTTTTATAGTTCTCTGTGCCTATCTCTTTGAGAAACTGCCATATCTAGTTATTTACTTCTCTTTGTCCATCCTATGACATGAAAGCAGTTAAAAGAGGATTTTTTCCCTCGCTTCCCTTTGAAGTCTTTCATTCTCTAATGAAGACCAGAAAAGGAAAGATAAAACTAAGGCTATTAACATTTTCAGATTTGCTCACTATTCGTTGTTTAATGATTTTAATTGTTGAACCTCCCGAGTACTTAAATCACCTCAGTGCCACCAACACACAGGAAGTAGGGTGGGTTTTTTATTTAATTACAACAGGATACAATTCAAAATCATGTTGGGGGAAGTGTACAGTAGATATAAACAACCTAAACCATTACCTTAGGGTACGCATCTCTTCATGTAGAATTTTACAAGCCTAATGAAAAGTGATTTGAGCTACACTATTAACTGCAAAAACAAAACAATATTTACATTTAAATTTACTGTAACATAAAGGGTTTGGCTAGAGAGAGAAAACCCAGGAAGCACTGGAAAAAGAAACATTGCCAAAAGCAGAAGATGAAGCATGTCTTGTTCCCCTCGATGCTGTGTTGTGCACAACAGGCCATACACTCAGCTGGTATAAATCAGCTGCTTTACTGCTTTCACAGGAGCGGTGCAAGTTTACGTCCTGGGAAGTCAGTAGAATCCTATCTCAGGGTTCTCTGAGTGTAGAGAGATAGTCCTTATATACCAAAATAAAAAAAAAAAAACAAAAACATTTGGTTCAGAAAGACAATCATGAAACAATTCATCAAAATATCATTTTTTTTCGGGTTTTTTGTGTTTCTTATTCTGTGAGGAGTCAAACAAACTCAATTTTGGTAGGAGACACTGGGCTCATTAGCACAAGTTTTGTGGAAAAAGAGCAAAATAAGAGAAAGAACATTTTAAAAGGCCTTTTCAAGGGAAGTAACTGCTAAAAATACAGAGATAAATTACAATTTAGATTTGAAAAATATTTGATACATATGCTCATTTAAGCATAGTTGGAAAAATTGTTCATTTGCCTGAGTCAGAAACAGCGAGAGAGTAGTTCAGCCAGTCTACTCCTTTCACAGCGGCTTTGCAAAGAAACCTCTTGAACTTGATCATCATTAGGTTGGTCCTTGTTTGAACTGATCCACAGTTTGGAGGCTCAAGTGATGCCCCAGAGCAATATTTGACTAAAACAAACCAATCAACCCCTCCTTGTACAAAAGTAGCCCCATCTACTACGTTGTGTACACAGAATAAAACGGTTGGAAATTTATGAGGAAATTCATTAATAGATTGATAAACTAATTAAAAACTTATTGCTTCAAATTGTTAGCATGGGCATCAAAACTTTTCATTGTCTCAGCTGTACTTAGCGCCACAAGTCATACTTTCCTTGTAGTTTAAATCACCTCTCCTCCTCAGCACAGGCTGTACCTGCAGATGCTGTGCTGTAACTAAAACAATCTCTCTGGTATTAACTTGGCTGCTTTGTGATTTCATTTACTCCTGCCTTTGTCCATCAGACAGCAGCACTTTACATACTGAGATGATAATTTAAAGGGGATAATTTAAAGGGTAGGTTCAGCAGCAGACTACACTTCAGCATAGGTTTGAATGCATGAAACTGCTATGCACTCCACACGGAAAAAGAATTTTGGCTACCCGATTCTAAAAAATTGTGTATAAATTGTATCTAAAGAAGTCCATTGCCAAAGGTTCATGCATTGTTTTCAGACAACTAAAATGCTGCAAAACCTGGCACTTCAATTTTGCGGTTCTTGCCAAAGAACAACATATTAGTAATTATTTTTTTATGGTATTCACCTAGCATCATTTAAGATGTGCATGGATCACAATCTTACATTGTCTGAGAGATTTTATCACTAGGTAAAAAATATACAGTGTACATTTTTAAAATCAAACCACCTATGTTGCCTTTTGAATTGCCTTATAGTATGAATTAACGCATACCACAAGAATGACCAACAGGTTATTCAGCAACAAAATGCTTTAAATATAAAATTATATAAATTTTGAGCCATGTTCTTTCCTTTCCTTTGGGGATCATCTATTAATTAGGACTGTGTGATTATGTGATTTTTCAGCTCAGTGGTCAAATGAAGAAACGAAGCAGTTCCGTAAGAGTGGAACCAAATGAATCCTAGTTTTATACTGATTTTCTGATGTCTAATAAGGGTCAACTCCCATATTAGCTTTTCCCTCAGTGGAGACATTAATAATGCTTGTCTTCTCTGCTCAACTGCCTGCTTCCACAAACCTGGTAGGGAAGTCATACCTGTGAGTCTTGCTCTCTGTTGAAAAAAAAGGTTTGGAAATGAACAAGTTCAAAAATTGGGGAGGAAAACCAGATAGAAATAAATACACCCTGATACATGCACACAGAGATGGAAACTGCAGAAACCTCACTTCCTCAGGAAATTCTTTCTCTTTTCTGAATTTTATTCACCCAAGCAAAGCAAAGTAAAAAATTCAGCTAGAACAGTGTGCAACTTCACACACAGGACTAGCTCTGATACCCATTATGGCACTCATAAAAGCACTGAGGCACTGCTTGAGACACATAACACCGTGGTCCGCAGTGTCTCCCCAACCTGCTCCAACTCCCAGGGGACTCTGATGTGCATATGGAGTGTGAGACATGCATGCTAATGCATTTGCTTGCCCCTTCACTTTAGCCACCCAAAAAGCAAAGGTCAAGTCTAAGTTAGTTGTCCAAGTACCTTCTAGAGCCAAAGGAAAGAGAAAAACAGCTTCCAAGGTGTAATTCTTCTAACCAATGAAGAGATGTCTGTGTGAGGTGAACTGACTCACTTCCCAGAGGTATTTCTCCCTCCCTATCTCACCACTTTGGGGGAGCCCCAGTAACTAAACTTTCAGAAAGCTAATGCAGAGGGTACTAGACCCCACCCTGAGGCAGCCTATAAAATGACATCAGGACATTGTCCTTAATCATACGGCATTATTTTGATGATAAACCTACTGATGAATATGAAATGCTATAAACACTTGTAAACAGGGACTAGATAAGTACCACAGATAGACAGCCCATGTCAATCTTTCACAGAGAAATAATGTTGGCTTCACAGCCAAACATGGTTTTATTTTCATCTATGTTGTTGCATGATAAAAGCAACAATCAACTTGCAGCATTGCTATTATCTTTTTCAGTAATGTGGATCTCTACATTAATATACAACAATAGAGAGCTTGCTGATAATTTGTTGAAGGTTTTTGCTTAAAGTATCTGTGTGAATTTAGTTGTGATGGTCGCACTTTTTTCCTTGCATTTATGATGAGGCAAAATGGGTTTCAAAGATGTTACTGATATGACCAGTGCCAGTTCAAGAGATTTTTCAACCCTAGGTGAATGAAAACATTTTCATCTTCTAGAGCAAAGATGCCTATAAACTAAATAGTCATAAAACATGTTGCAGCTCCTGGAGCTCCAGTGTTGTGAGCAACCACCTACTTGGTCTCTTTGACAGAGTAGGCCCTGTGTATTGTTGAAATACAACAGGAAACTTCATACAGATACAAAGAACAGAAAATACTTTTGCACAAAAGAGCTCTGCTGAAAAAGGAGAGGGGGGATACATAAAAATACAAGGGCAGGTCAGAGCTGGGGCTTGTACAAATGTTACTTCTCCTAGGATGAACCACAGGAGAGCAGTAGACATGGACCTTGTGTAAAGAGTGTAAAGGTAATAGTCTCATGAATCAACTGGGTTTTTATTAATGCCTGTAAAAATAAGTGAAGCCAAAGTAAGGCTGTTGGCTTGAGGTGAAGAAATCTCCTATACTTTATTGCTTTTACTGTAGATGAAACATCAATATGTATTTTCTAACAAAGTCACAGGAAATATTTTCTTACTCATATGTCACTGTAAATCCTTGTATAGATAACCTTAAACAGTGTGATGTCACCTGTGTATCTGGCAAATGGTCCACCCATTTACCAGCTTAAGAAAAGATTTGGATTTCTAGATTTGACTGCATAAGCAATGGTATTTCCAGTTTTCTTTCCTAAGTGTGTAATTCAACATGCAGTGAAGTAATCTAGAGAAAGCATGCCACTTAAGTTACACTTTAAACCACATAAACATGACTCAAAACAAAAACATTTGGAGAAAGAGTCCTTACAAGCTTGCATTAAAATCAGCATCCCTTTGACTTCTGAGTTCAAGGGGATGGATTACCCACTCTCCTCCCCACATGCAGACTCAGAAGAGTTTTATTTTCCTTTATGCAATTGATTTCGTTATTTACCTTGGAAGTCCAGCATCTTGTTTTCTTCATCTAGTAGCTTCATCAGTTTAGAGTACAGGATTTGTTCATCAGATTTTACAGGATCTTAAAAAAACAACAGTGAAACAGCTATTGTTTCTTCCTGTTGTATTTCAGGAAACGTTAGTTTAAACTAAAAGTAGGATACAAAAATAGGAAGACATTTGACACTCAAAGATAGTTTAGACAGTGCTCCTTTCAGAGTTCGGAATAAAATTACAGTAACCTCTTCTGTGAAGGACAATTTAAAATAAAAATATAATATCATATATTTTTAAATGGTGAGCATAATTATACGTTGATCTGGACTGAAATTGGTTTATTAATTCTGCTAATAGAGTAGCTGAAATGATTGTTTATATTCAAATTGTCAGATAAATTCTGTTTGACTCTCTATGAAGATCAAAATACCCAATTTCTATTCTAATGTCATTTTGGATCTTCATCAGAAATTTTACCTTCCTCTCCATAATACTAACGTATAATATTAGTGTGAGTAATTATAGCACACTATGAATTTTGATTCTGTGGTTGGTCAGTCATTCAAATTGTCAGTAATATCTGCAGATTTTAAAAAGTAGCAAAGGACACGCACACTCACCTTTTTCCATGAGACTTAAAAAAAAAAATATCACCTTAAAGGTCTATATTCAAAGGTGAAATGAGCAAGTGGGACTGTCTTCTCTCCAGATCTCCCAGACTGTGACTTCTCTAAGCTGCTGGTGAAGACAGGTAGATAGAAGACCGAAGAAATGTATACAAGACAGGTGGATTGAATTACAGCTACAAGCAACCTTGAGTGGCTTTTTTTAAGTGTTCGAAAGAATCTCAAAGAATAAATTTTCTTTACCACGAAATTTCAGAGCCAAGTTTCCTGTTACACTGAGCATTCAAAGAAGGTGGTCGCTTCTGCAAACCTCTTTTGAAAGTACAGAATCTTTTACATTTAACATCGAAATGTCCCCCTGGTGAAGGGGTCAAGCAAATCCATAGTGAGAAGTTGTTTGTTCTCAGAGCATTATCAACTCAGAAAAATATCCAGAACAAATATAATTTATCAAAGGTAGAAAAAATATTTGTCAACATCTTTATTTTCACAAAATAACCCATTAAAGAAGAATTAGTGTCTGAAGATTTGCTTTTCACCAGCTATTCTCTTTGGGCATTGGGCCTGACTTTCTTAAGCCCTAAGAAGAGTGTAACTTTAAAATGTGCCCTGATTTCTTCATCTTTTTCAGGTTTTGGCTTTTGCTTGTGGCAAGCTGCTAGCTGGAAAGACGAGATAAATCAATAAGGTTTCCAGTTAGGGGATGATTATGCAGGACCATGCAGTTCTGACCATTCTTTTATCTCCATCCACTACTTACAAATGTAGTTCAACTTATTTAACACTTCTGCAAGGAAAAGGAAGCCTGTGAGCCTGGTTTTTGAGTATCACCAAATCAGACTCGTTAAGGTGGGAAGGCACCTCTGGAGTCCATCTAGCCCAGTTGCCCCTGCTCAAACAGAGCCACCTAGAGTCAAATTGTCCAGGACCCTGTCCAGGCAGCTTTTGAATATCTCCAAAGTAGAAGACTTGCTCTTGGCAGAGGTGTTGGTAAATATGCCATTATAACTGCTCTACAGAGGTCAACACAACCAAGTACTTGAAGCCGGTACTGTTGCTAATAGACTTTTAATAAGCAAGTGTTATATCAACATATGAGTGACATTTTTGCCAGGAAAAAAAAAGGAGGAACACCAAAGGACAGCTGTTTACACATGGACCTCAGGTTTAGCATGATATGCAATTGCCTAAAACTACCTCCCCACTCCAAAACCAAGAACGCAATGGACTTTCTAAGAGCCTTCTTCTGTTCCCAATTTTAAAATAAGTAAATAGATAGAACCCCTACCACAAAATACAAAATCAACATTTAAGGTTAAGTGTATCACTCAGCCTCTTCAACACAGTCAAGAGAACATTTTCTCCCAGTGAGAACCATCCTTCCATATATCCCTTATGTTACCACTAGGCACACATGTACAGATACAGAAATTTAATCTGTTTTTCATTTTCTGGTTGTGAAGCAGATCTTGACTCACAAAGCCTACTTGCAGGATAAACCAATGCAGGACCAACAGGAAAAAAATCTTTCATTTAAAAACTCTGAGTTAGAAGTTGACTTCCAAGGTATTACGCTGCTGTCCTACACATTGAATGTGGAAATTATTGGGGTGAGATGTAAACCAATCTTGATAACCCCTGATTTTTTTTTTCACCAGAACACAGAAATTCAAGTTACTGATACTCGTTATAGGCTGGGTTTTTTAAGTTACACAAGTTTTTGTCTCAAAAGTTTAAAACATTCACATGCCCTCAAAGTTTCTCATGAATTCCAGAACTGAACTACTCTGAGACCCTTTGTAGTAAATAACTTTTTATAATCTGACTACATCTGCACAACTAGAGAGTCTCTGCAGTACAAATAAGTGCACACTTTAAAAAAACCAAGGGATAGAAGTGTAACACAGGAGAACTGGATCTTGCATGCTATCAGGTTGTTAGGGCTTAACAACAGGAGCTGGGCCAAAGCACTCAGTGCATAGCTAAGCACTTCATTACCATGATGATGTTCTTACTTAAGTCCATGCAAATTCAGGCAGGCCCGTTCCCACCCTTTTTTATCTAAAAGCCATGACAGCAGAGGAGAATTTCCTCTACTAGACAATACCTCGTGGTTAATCTCTCTCACATCTATGCATAACTTCTGTTCTTCCATCTCTGCAGAGTCACACCCTCCCACCTGTCCCTGCCGTCCCCAGACGGCAAAGCTAAACATCCCGGATAAACCAGGGGGAAAAAAATAACAAAAAAGCCTCCTCATGCACTTTGGTGCAGTCTGGGATTTCCCTCTGTTAGGCAAACACACATTCAACTCAGTAATAAAATTGCTCTCCAAGGAGGACTTTGGGAGCAGGGTTGCGAAAAAGCTGCAGCTTAGCACTCAGTTCTGGACTAACTTCATTAATTAAAGAGAACATGATGTAGACAATACTCTTGGAACATGCTTCTTTTTGCTACAGTAGCAGAGCAAATACAGCGCAGCGTCATTTTTACCCGCCCATTAACTCACTGTCCTTGATCAAAGACTATGTATACTGCCTATCCTGTTCAGAGCAGTTAAGGTTTAGAATTTAAATTGTAAACCTCAATATTTAAATAGAACTGCATATGTGATCTCTGTCACCTCATTTTCATGAATGGAAAAGAATATTCTGACACCAAAATTACATACTTAATTCTGCCTCACCTTCTTCACTGACCTCCATCCCACACCGCCTTGGGTTTATTTCCTCATCCATCAGCGGGTCAAAGTAATTTCTGCTGTATTCATTTCCTGTGGAAAGCACATGAAGTAAGGGTCAGCGATTATTAGAAGCACATGAACTAAAATGTTAATTTTGAAATCGACACCAGCAAGCAAAGGGGCATTTTTTGCTACTTTACAAGCTTAATTTTTTTAACAAGTCCTCTAAGCCTACTGGTACTGCAATTATCTTCTTGTGAAAGGTCAGTAAAGGTAATTCTGGAAACAAGTGTACTTTATGTTACTTTTGCTTAGGAACTAATGAGAAAAAATTCTCAAATTTAGATGATGGAAAGATAAGAAAAATTTTAAAAAAAATCCAGCACCCCCAACATCAACCAAATTATTCTTGAAACACATTGTGCAAGTGAATTATCCATACTGCAGAGGAATTTGTGTTTCACAGCTGACCCCTCCAGTTTCAACAGTTTTAAATTTCACCACTGAGGTTTCAACGTCTGGTGCATCTTTAATACTGTATTCAACCAGAGAAAGTGTTTAATTACAGAGGAGATACTAGGATACTGCCTCATTAATCTGAACTGCAATTATGCTCAGTTGGACTAGGTAACTAATCCAAGATTTTGATGGGGCAAATCAAATCATGTTAGCACTTTCTATTTTAACAGCTAATTTTATCTGCTCTTTAGAAAATAAACAAGTTTACAAAAAAAGTCATTTGTTAGAATTATCAAGAAATAATGCAGCATCCAGCTGCCTAGAGGAACTCGTGATAAAAGCCAGAAGAATTTTCCTTATACAAGGAGGGAGGATGGACTTTTTCCTCAAAGTATGTCCTTTCTTCAGCAAAAATGCTACACTTTTAAAACTATCCACATGTTTACTGCATTTGCAAACACAGTAAATTATAATTAAACAGAAAAAAAGACGTAAAATAATTATGTCCATAACAAATTTTTAAATCGCTTGAATCGACATTGATCTATATCCCGGCAAATACATAAAAGCTAAATGTATGAGGGGGTTAATTCGCCTAGATACCTTATGGTTGTCTACAGTGTATTTGTTTTAGGATCAAAAATAATCCAAGCAGCAGCTCCTTTTCAGAGACTAAATGAAACTTTGATATGAAACTAGGTTTAATTTATATTTCTGCACTGGCACATTTTGACTGTCAGTCTCTGTTCCTTCAATGTAGTAAGTACAAGAACTGAAAATTTGCTTTACCTTGAGGTCTCAATAAAGAAAAAATAAATGAGTTTCATTTTTGTTACTTTATCTGTCAACAACTACTAGGCTGGTATGAATCTTGGCAGTATGTAATCAAAGTCTTATGTACTGCAATAACAGAGCTATTCTACCTTATTCACTGTAATTGTTTTCCTCTAGCACAAAGCATCGTGATGTTATATGAACACCCCTTCATATGCTGGTAAAATATTTCACCTCTGTGCTAAAAAAGATAATGACGATGCATTTCTTTATTCAATTACTTCATAGATGTAAGTGTAAATTGCTGGAAAGTGTGTTGCACCCATAGAAACAATACTCAGCTCTTGCGTAGGTTTTTTTGCACAATCTTACCATCACAACAGCTTTTATTGCATTTTAATATCCCATGTGAGTCTCGTGTGAAACTTTGAGGACTAGACTTTTGGACAACTCCTCTGGACAGAATAATTGGCATTTAGGAGGAAGTGTCATGTTATATTTGAGGCTGCAAGGCATGGAAACCATTATTCAAAACAGAGATATGTTGACAAATACCATTAAATAGCTTGCTCTTTGGTCTTCTTTAAAGAAAAAACAACCTCAACAGTTTGAGGAGTATGAGATATTTTGTCCAGGGCTTTGGCTCTGTCAGAACCACATGCAGTTGAATACAGACAGTTATGCAGAAGTAAAAAGAACCACCAGGCTTGATTTCTTCAGTGCAACGTACACACCTTAAAACCTACACAAGCAGAATGAGTGGAAAACACAAAAATCACCTCTTCATAGTGATTTTGTAGATAGCAAGCTATTTTAAACTGCAGGACTCCACAGAAGACTTTTAGTGAGGCTTTCAGAAGAGCTGAAATCACTGTAAACCTTAGGTCACATCTCTGTGTGTTGGGGGGAGGGTGCCGTTTCTGGTGGTTTTGGTTTTCTTTCCCCTCTGCTCAACTCACACCTTGAAAACTGATGTGACCAGGAGGTCTGGGCTCTGGGCAGGTCCTAAAATTTGTCAGGGGCAGTGGGAGTTGCTTTAGTTTTAAAATACAAAATTATCAATTTTAGTCAACATAACATACTGCCCAAGGCATTTTGCTAATAACGTTTTGTGAGTATGTGAACGGATTACTAATCATCTCACATTTGTTTTTGGAAATATTTGAAAGTGTATAACATGTAAATTAACAGTCCACTAAGGAATTCATATTGCTCTACTTTGTGGTATAGACACAGTAAATGTTAATACAGAGCTTGCTTGTAGTTATTTTGAACAGCAGCATATAGCTTGGTGTTTTCAGAGAGCAAGTTACTTTGAATACCTGCTCCTAAAAAGACTTGGCCAACTTTAGAAACTTAGGTCTTTGTTTTGACCCAGAGGTTTCTTCAAACCCATTAATTCAATTTGAAGTCCTATTCATCCCTCAAAGTTGTGTTATTTCATGTGGAAAATGTGATGGATCATTCAGGAAATCAGAATTGATGTACAAAACTACAGATTATCTATAAATTGAAATAAAAGTGGAAAGAAGGGTGTTGGCATAACAGTGACCAGGTGGGAATTTATACAGTTTAATTAAAGCAAGAGGAGTTGCTAATAAAATTAGCATAATCCTTGGATGCAGCCCATGGGACTGTATACATATTACTAGGACTGGATGAAACTTAAAAGATGCCTGTTAAACTAAGATGTCTGTAGTCAATTATGCAGTCTATGTCCTGAGAATACCACACGAGAAAGGCATGACTAAGCTGCATTTCTACATCATCTTCTACTCCACAAAGAGATCAGGTTGTCTGTATCAATTACACATCAAAGATATGGCATGGCATTTGAATAAAAGGCAATGATTCTATTCATATTGTACTATTGACCTAGTTTTTTAGTTTAATGAAAGAATAGACAAAACTCTTTTTCATCTGTTGTGTCTTCTGACCAGTGTAAAAATTAAGGAATTATTAATAGCCAGGTGATAACACTGGTGTGTTATCAACACCCTGCTAGCTACCAATGCAAAGCACAGCACTGTGAGGCCTGCTATGGGGAAATGAACTCAAGCTCAGCCAGAGCCAATACATGAGGCAACTCATAAAAGCCTTTTGCATAAGATAGAATAAGAAGGAGTCTTTTTGGAAAGATGAAATCCCAGTCTGAGAGAGCATTCTGACCCAAAGTGCTCTTGGAAGAGCAGCTGGAAATGGAAAACTTTAGTACTCCTTTCCCAAACCTCTCTTAAAGGTTCTTAAGAACTTAAGGTTCTGTGTTACCATATTTCTGTGTTTCTTTATGACAGCCAAAGCAGTATCCTGGGGTCAGACTTGGATCCCATCTAAGAGAGGTGCACACCTCAACGTGGCCAGCAAGAACTAAGACTTGGGACCAAAAGAAAGGGAATACAAGGGTACTACCTCCTGCATTTCCAACTACTTCACTTACCCTCCCTCAAGTCATGGTGGGTCATGTGACTAGCACTCCCACTCACCTATTTTCATGATTCAGTACCTACATTGATAAAGTTTGATATCTGCAAGTTCCTTCTTTATAGATACAGGCCTTTGCTTCTATTCTGTACTCTGAAAAACATCTCTGAAGAACCTTAAAAAATTCATTCAAAAGAATTCTAGAATAAGAGAGGGAAAAGAAACCTTTCACCTTAAAAAATCTCACAGGATGCACAAGTAAAGAAAAACAAAAATCATCAACCAAAACTGCATAAATGCTAGATTTACTTAGATCTAAAGGTTATGAAGATGTTAAAAGTAAAACTACAGTCTTGTAATGAATTGATACATAATCTATAAAACAATGCTAACTCTCCATTCTCATTTTGGCAAGGAAAAAAAAAGGATTATTGTGAGCTAACCAGAAGTTATACTTTTAGTTTGGGTTTTTAATTGTCCTTACTGACCCATATATTTTTCACCATGATATTTACCTCAGCTCACGTCCGTTACAAATACTTTTAATTAAATCTATATGTAACCTAGATCAGTCTAAATAACTTCTGAATGCCTTAATTAAGACTCTTTCATTATTTTAGATTTATATTTAACATTATTGTTCATATTATAAGTATAAAGATTTTCTATTGTAGAACTAAAATAACATTCTTGAGAAGTGCACCTTTAGTCCAGATTACCAAATACACGGGAAAGTGGTAGTGAGTTTTACATAGAGCTTTCATGAATACCTATCAGCATTCAATGAAAAATTATGGCTAATGGCATCCTCAAACTGAAGAGCAAGCAAGTGACTGGACAGCAGAATTTATCTTGAAAACACAGCTTGTTACACACTACCAACACTAGGTTACTTCTCAATTTTTAAAAAGTTTTAAAGGTATCATATGTCATTTTCCTTATCCTCAGCAGAGACTGTAGGCAATGAATAAATCAGATAGCTGTGTCTTATGTTTATATTGCAAGCCTTGAATAAACTCACTTGTCAACTTTGACAGGACGCTGGTAAAGGGGCCGTTCCTGAGCTAAGCAGCATAGACTGCGCCGCGCCTGCCCTGACTCTTGAAAAACACCAAATTGCGCTCATGGCATCCATTATTTTTTCCCGCCACTCCACTCCTGGAAGACTTGCCACCCTTGCTGCTGTTTAAGCAAAGGTACAGCATGGGAATTCGTGGGGGTTTTTTTCTTTTTTTTTTTTTCCTTTTTTTTTCCTTTTTTCTTTTTCCTGCAGGCAACAGAGGGCACTCTGCCAAGGGATGCCAGTGTGAAACCTGCTACTTTTCCTGGGGACACACTGCTGGTCGAAGGCGTGAGAAAAAGATTTACTGATGATGGAGTTTATTTAGGAACACTATTAGATAATGTGACACACGTCAATGGGGAAAATGGGTACT